TTACAACCTCGCCCCACCCATGCCTGTTCCATACAGGCAGGTATCAGGTGGCACCAGGCTAGAAGAGGGACTTCACGCTATATGCACCAGGGTCCTTCCTGTGACTCAGTAACTTCAAAAGAGAGACACACCTGCACTTTTCCTTGTACCTGCAGCTGGCTGTGATGGGACACCATGAAGGGAAGATACATATCACGATTCGTATCAATCAAATACCCTCTAAAAACCCACTGGAGAAGACTCCGGGGATTGTGTACAGTCACGTGTAGCAACTCACATGTCTCATAAACTGAGAATGGCTAAAAATAACATCCACCAACAGACAACTAGGGAATTCTCTCCAAAAATTAACTAGGTTGATACTCAAATCACTATCGGCAGGGTACTAATGTCATACACATCTTACAGATGAAGAAGCGAAGGCCCAGGGATAGTATATAACCTGCCTAGGGGTGCACAAATAAATGTCCCAGCCATTAGAAGAAGCTGTAGTCTGGTTCCAGTCCACACATGGAGCTGCTATGCTGTAACGACGACTCTAAGAGTCTCAAAAACTACCACTGTCATCGAATCTTCCCTCCCTCTTCCCTCCACCCGTAGTTCATCTTACTGAGTTGGCCAACACAAATGATCTTGTGTGTGTCACCTACTTATACCTAACGGAATTCCATGCTTCTTTATATAACATTAGTACATTAGTCAAACAGGAAATCCTGATCACCCATAACCATCCTTCCCAACACTTTCTCATCATCAGTGTACATAGGACTAACGAAGAGCTGTCCTTACTGGTTTCTACAACTACCAAGATACTTCTAGAAGAAATACAATTGTTTTAAGGTTTCTGCCGTAGGTCACATGCGCTCACCAGAGACAGTGAGAGGGAAAGTAAGAAATCACCCACGAGAAGGAATGGTCAAGTTACAGTCCGACCTCCTCTCGTGTTCCTTCAGAGATTCTGGGCACACACACAAACACGCCTGGTGTGATTTTCAAGCCACTGGATCTAGGACCAGAACTGCAAATAGACATGTGGAAGTCCAGCACCTTAACAACCACGCCACCTGCTGACCCAGGAAATGCAAATTTTACAAGATCAGCTAGCGGAATGGGAGGGTTAAGGAGCTAGGTGTGGACACTTCACATTTAGAGCTCAATGCTAAAAGAGTACAATGTTTCCATTCTGAACAGTAAATACTGCATGAAGCACAGCATGGTGGCACAGTTAGGACACTGAACTGCAGGCCTGGAAGTGACACAGCTGACTGCAGGTTTTGTTCCTGGGGTCAGCCTAAAAACATGCTCAACAATCCTGATGAACTGAGGGCTGCAGAAGAGAGATGGCGTGATGAGCCCCTACCGTGGGTGCCTCTCTCACTTCCCCGCTCTGGCATGCATGCAGACGGGCTCCATCAATGAATAAACAGAAACCTACAAGGGTATTATGTAGTTTTTAAAAAACAACCACCCACTATAATGATTTAAAAAAAAAAAAAAAGACAAAACTAACACCTAAAACAAACAAACAAACAAACAAACAAACAAACAAAAAAAAAAGAAAGAAAAGAATGAAGAAAGGAAAAGAAAAACAAAACTCAGCACCTGAGGTGGCCTGAGTGTCACTTGGGCTGTCCTGTCCATCAAACAGGCAAAGAGCTTCTGAAGAGGGGTTGGTTTTCCTTTGTACATAAGTGGCTACAAATGTTTACCTTTCCATAGCTAGGTTAAAGAATGCTGGTTTTGTTTTGAAGGTATTTTTTTCCTCCCCTGTAATGAATAACTCTGAGGAAAGTAATCAGAAACTTGAGAAAAATACAAAACCCTACGGAACTCTGGACTCTACTGCCATCTCTGTGCTAACAGATTCCCTAATGTCAAGTAAAAGCAACAGCAGCCAAGTACACAGAGCGAAGCAGAGCTTAGAGGATTTCCTGCAGAAAAGCAACACCCTGTAAACACATGGATATTCTGACTTCAGCTTATTTGTTTTTAAAAGATACAAGCAGCATCGAAAAAATGTCATCGATTCCACTTGCAGACTGAAAAAAATTCAGACTGGATAAGATGTAAGCGGAGGCATGAGTCTTCATTTTTCACGAGAAGTCAAAAACTTAATTCATTTCCTCTCTTCTATTCCTACCCTTAGTCTAGAGAGAAGACAGATCTTAAAAACATGTGCCTAAAGAGTTGTGAACAGCAATAATAATTTAATGCACAAGATTAGTCAGCAATTCATATCACACTCCCCTCCCCCCCAAAAGAGAGAGAGAGAGAGAGACAGAAAAATGCACTCCCCAAAACAAATTAATAAATGACAGTCTTAGATTTTTAGGACCCAGTGTATTCTCCTAAAACGACAAAAGCCAAAGACAGAATGCAAATAAATGGTTGATCATAAACCACACTCTTGCCAACTCTATAGGGGAAAAAGCATAGCATAGAGGCAATAACCCACCCAAGGCTGATGCCGTTTCAAAATGACCATGTAACAATGTGACTCTGGGACTGAATTCTCACCTTCAGCGACAGTAGACTCAAGATTTTAGAAAAGGTACAGTATATGCAAAATGAAGAAAATTTGAGCACTGTGGTCTCAACAATGACCAGCCTCTCCAAGAATCTAGGTGCCGCTTTGTCTATACTGCTTTTGCAGGTAGAGTTCACACGAAATCCTCTAAATATGGAGGAGGGATCAAAATAAATTCTTTAAGGTCTGAATCTATTGAAAATATCACTTCTTTTCAATTTGCTATATGTCCTGCAATGCTGCATGAAACAGATGCCTTACAACCACTTGAAGGATACAAAGGTTCCCTCCTCCTGTAGTCAGGCTTACCTCCAATAGGCCTCAAGTTCTATCCTAACATACGAAACCCTAACCCACATTTCATGATAGCCAAAGAATATGCTGTACCCAATCCTAAATTGAGTACAACACAACCCAAGACACACTGAAAATTAAAGTGCCTATGTAAGCTTTATGTTTCCTTGAAACTAACCCTGCAGAGAGTTTCATTTTTGCACTGCCCGGGAAAATTCAAGCTAAATGACTGCTTCACACTCACCTCCCACACAGCACTACAGACCCGTGCACAGAAGAAACGAGAGCACTGTCATCAAAAGAGGCAGTAGGATGTAGGTGACAGAGTCCCCCCTCCAAGCCTGCTAACACGCACGTCACAACCAAATGGGTGACCAAATCTCACCCAGAAGTGAGGGCAATGGACAGCCCCATTGCTGGGGGGATGGAAGCTACCATTGCCCATCCCAGGCTCACAGGATTATATTCCCCGAATGAGGGGAAAGCGATGGCAGATGCAAAGATACGTGCCCGCGGTGGGAAACATGGATCAAGTTCTCACACATCCCAATATTATTTACTGATGTGCTTCTTGACACTCCTTGACTTGCCTCTCCTGTGAAGATTGATTTTCAAGTTGGAGCGGGGAGAGTTTGTTACAGAGTTCAATAATACAGCTGGTTGGACACGGAGACACTCAACCAAGAGTTTTAGAAAGAGAAATCCAGGGGGTGCCAGCAGGTGGTGTGGTGGTTAAAGCACTGGACTCCCACAGGGTCAACCATGCTCAGTCCCCAACCTGAGGACTGGCTTTCTCACTTTCTTTCTCTCTCTGGTGAATGCATGTACTTTGTAGCAAATTAACAAATAACAATAATAATAGTAAATAAAATAAAATAATTCTTTAAAAAAAAAAAGAGTCACGGAGTCATGTCTGATGCCTGGTACACTAGCAGATCCCTCTTTCGTATTCCTCCCAACTACACTACCAAGGAACCTACTGACCGCTTCTGAACGACACAGTTGAGGATCCGGAGAACATGAGGGTGGTGTTAATAGTGACTCAGGGAATTGTGGGTTGTTTACACAAAGACACTTCGTGATGAAGGAAAATAACCTAAGACTGCTCAGAGCTATGCATCTCAAGTTTCAGATGCCACAGCCGGTTCTGTTAAGAATTTTAATGATGTACACATGGCTAGTATGTTGGTCTTTTTATTTTCCACTGTACTCAGTTCCTCACTAGATACAAACACACATCAAGACTGTTTGTGAGAAGTAACTATAAATCTGAAGAAAGAATAATAAACATAGTACACCAGACCGGGGGAATTTTTTCTTCTTTTCCCCAAACTGTCAAACTAACAGATTCGAAGAAAAACTCATGAAAAACTAGTCATCCAAGAAAACACAGAGTATGAAAATGGAAAAGGAACAAAATAAAATATAATTCTAAAGGTGGAAAAATTTTTAAAAAAAGGAAGTAACACATAATACATGAAATAGGGCAGATAAGGAGCAACGGGTTTTCCCAACACCTAATCAGGAGCATTATTATATAACATGGCTGCCACTGTTTGCCCATGGAACCACAATCTCTTATCAAACTCCTATAGCCAACTTCCGTAACAAACTATTGGAACTTTATTTAGGAGAGTCACATAAAAATAACTGCCAGTAAGTTAAGAACCAATTCCACAAAAATGAACTCGATTAAACACTGATGGAGTCAAACTGTATGCAGTATCATTTCTGCTTTCTTGACAAATAAAATATTTCAGGAATATTGCATTTGATTCTTCAGATAGTTTGGAACATATCTCTCCAGAAGGGGTTAAAAAAAAAAAAAACATCCAACACACTCTGGACAATTACTGCTGTGCGAGTCAATTAGGATGCACAGATATGACAGCGTTACAAGGTGGCAACTTTTTGGCCAATGCTTATGTTGGCTGGGACACGTTTTCTTTTGTTCAACAGATGAAGTATGTTGTTTATTCACTTTTATCGTAATTCCTGGATAATACTTACAAATCAGGACATGTAATACAAATGCATAATGCTGACTCCTCTAAAAAAATTTTTTTTTATATTTTCCAAGAGACGGGGTGGAGTGGGCTCGTACTCATTCAGAACCTGGCATCTGAGTCTTGCAGGCCCTGGTTTTAAAACACCAGTACCTTCGGCCTCGGGTACTAACCTTTTCCTCGACGGCCCTTCTTCAAAATCTGAAGAACTAACATCGTTGCTAGTAGAGGACACTTGGGATGCATCGTCCTTCTCATTCTCTGACTGTTCTGACGCTGGTCCTAATCCCTTAGACTGGTCATTACCAAGGAGCCCTACAGGTGAGAAAAGGGGACAAACACTTAGATACATCACGTCAGGAAACACACGTTACCACACTTAACCCTACACAATGGCTGATGAAGACAGGCAAGAATGCAGACAGAAAAGAATAAAAAGTACATATTCCTTGTGAATGGGCGATGGCCGTAACACCTTGTCCTCTTCTAGACTTTTTAAGATGGTGAAATGCCTAACAAGAAAATCATTTCAACAATAGGAAATTCAAGCAGGAAATGAGAATCGTATTTACAAACTTTAGGATTCTGTCTTAAAGTACATCAACATCTTTTGTGGCTGGGGAGGAGGAGGAAGAAGAAAGGAGTATTAATTATTATGAAATCACACCAGGTACTTGGGAAGGGCGAAGCATATACAAATATGAAAGTGCTCTCAGAATTGCCTTTAGGAAGTAGACCCTTCCACCCGAGAAAAAGCATTCACTATAAACAGCCCTATCTTAGACATTAACCAGAAACCCTAGGGTACTACTTTGTCTTCATGGTCACCCATTACTTTAGATTGTGACCAGATTTGGCAATGACATCCCAAAGGGTAAGGATTTTCTAACACTGCAGATATGGCACCATGCATATATAAGTGACAGTGGGTCAGCCAGTGCCATGGTGGTTAAGGCAACTGGATCCCAAATGGCTAACTCCATAGTTCGATTCCTGTCCCTGGTGGCTTAAGAAACAACTGGGTGTGTATGTGTGTGCATGCCCAAAATCCAAAGAAGAGAATGGAAGAGGAGGGATTACAGCATGACCATTCCTTTAGGAGAGTGAGGAGAACTGGCGATTTCTCACTTTCTTTCTCGCTCTCAGAAAAATAACTAAGTAAGTAAGTGGGAAGAGATATTTGGTACCCACAGACATGCTTATAGAAAGCAAAAGAGAGGAAGGTCCTCGGGAAGGAGTTCCCGGCCCTTAACGGACTTTGGAAAGGGCTATGTTCTACACGATGTGAAAGAATCTTAACGGTGCAAAAGAGAGGAAGGTCCTCGGGAAGGAGCCCCCGGCCCTCAGGGGACTTTGGAAAGGGCTATGTTCTACACGATGTGAAAGAATCTTAACGGTCACACAAGTGGGTAATGGCCGAATAAAAGCCCCCTCTCTTCTAGCACCTAGTCTCCTTTGCACCAGGGAGTACTCTAGTGCCACCAATGAGAAGTTTCCACTGACACAGCGTCAGCGGCGACTAGAGCCCTGTCCGCTGTCTACCTGCCAGCTTCAGGGCCACCAGGAAGTGGGCAGCAGCAGCAATACCAGCATATGACCTGCACGTTTACAGGCCGAGTCTCTAAACACGAAGCCAAAGCCCTCGGTAGCCCTTTAATCTGTGCTCGTGTGTCCTTCCACCAACTTGACGAGCACCTCAATCCCAGTATTAAAATGTTTCCGGTTGAAACACACAAGTGGTGCCTGCTGGTTGTACTACAAACTCCACAGAATGTGATCCTGTACCTATGGGGTGAAAAACAGGCGACGAAGCAGGGACCTGGCCATGCATGCATGCGTTTCCCCAGCTGTCAATGTCTCTGTCTTCCCCGAGTATGAGTAATGACAAAAGGTTGGAAATCAAATACAAGGACTGGAACACAAGTTCATGTCCAATCACCGAGACTAACATGGCTAGTCATGACTACAACACAGAAATGGAGACACATACAAAGTCGCCCCCAATAAAAGAAATGTGGGGTTGTGGGGTGTTGAACTATGAGGTAAAATGGATACAATATGTATCCATAAATGGATACCAATCTAAGACCGCCTCCCCACCCCAAAGATAGAACCGTTCCTAACAGTTCAGAGAGAGAAGAGTTGCACGATCCACTGCAGTAGCCGCTAGTGATGAGTAGCTATGAGAACTCAAAATAAGGTGCGAGGGGCCAGCGGGTGGCATGGTGGTTAAGGTGTTGGACTCCTACGTGGCCAAAAATGGTTCCAGTCCTGGACCTGGCACCAGGCACGTGTGCATATGTGCCCAAAATCCCAGGAGGAGAAGGGATTGTAGTTTGGCCATCCCTACCCACCCATGGTGCTTTCTCACTTTCCCTCCCTCTGTCTCTCTCTGGTGAATACACATGTCCTTTGGCCAAAAAAATAAAGTTTAAAAAGGAAAAAAAGAAAGGAAGGAAGGAAGGAAGGAAGGAAGGAAGGAAGGAAGGAAGGAAGGAAGGAAGGAAGGAAGGAAGGAAGAAAACAGAAAAGAAAAAAAAAAACAAAACACAAGGCTAGAGTGGATAAGAAAATATTTTGGATGCATTCGGTTAAGTCAAAGTCATTAAAGTGAATTTCACCTGCTTCTTTTAAATTTTCCTGAATATGGCTCTAGGAAAAGTGAATGACATATTGGTTGAAACACCTCTATTGATAATACTAAATTAGACAGCCTCAGGTCTGGCACTGTGCGAGGACAAAGAGGGGGAAGCCCACCAGTCAGTGGGAATTGGGATACAGACAATACTTCATGACTAGAAACTGACCCAGGGACAGGGAAGAAGTTATCTAAGTCGAATGTGCACCTTATACATATACGTACATGCATTCTTAGTTGGATTCAGGCAACAGTGTACAGTACACGGCAGAGGGAGTGGGAGTGAACTCTGCCTTCGTCCATTTGCCTAGCACCGACCATATGCCAGGGCACTTGGGAGGCAGGCATGAGCCAACAAAGCCTAATCCAGTGAGAGGAGCCAGAGATACAAACATGGGCTCATTATCTCTGAGTAGACCCTACAGAGAACCATTGCACATGACGGGCAAAGGTGTTCTGGAGGGGCTAGTGAGTAGGAAGCAAGGAGCCTGGCAGCAAGATGGGACAGGGACCTGACGACAGGGAGCATTCCAGTATGCAATGCGGTGGTTGTAGAGGAGGAAGAAGAGGAAGGATAGACAGAGGACAAAGAGGAGGTTCTGAAGCCCCACGTGGATCGGGTAAGGGGTAAGCAAGAACTGGGTGCTGCTAGGAGATGCGGGAAGAATGCTCCCCGACCCTGGGGTTAGCAGAACTTCCGGTGCTCGCTGAATGAGTAAGCAGTGAATGAGTGAGTGAGTCATCGGTGGACTAGTGAGAGATGTTCGCGGATTCAATGACAGCTCTGCTCTCATCCCTCTGACAGGAGACTGTGAAGAGCAGGAGCTCCCATCAGCATCAGCTGCAGGGGCCTTCTGCAGGCCTCAGCCCCATGTGCGTGGTCCTGTGCTAACAGTGTCAGGATATGCTCCTGCCCCTCTGGCTGGTCTCAGGACCACGCTGAGAACTGCCACTGCAGAGCCACGTAGGGCCCATGCCAGTCACGACAGACCTAGAAGCCCCATGCCCCATAAGCTGATGGCCAGAGTGAATTCCATCCCAGGAACACACAGCTTGCAGGGAGGGAGCTCAGCTGGGCATTCTTCTACTTCTTACCACTCTAAGAGAGAGAACCTAGCTTACAAAGTTACCAGAGCCCGCTAAGGGGTCGGGTCGGGTAGAATACAGACAACCCCCCACCTCTACAGGTTTAAATAAAAAAAGGAAGAAGGGGGGAAAAAAGTGCAAGTCCAAGAAACGAATACAAAAAGGCTTTTAATACCCCACCCACCCACACACCCACCAATTCAACTGTCTAATGACAAATTCGGGGAAACTGCATGTAAAGTATTTCCATGAAAAGCATCTGGTAGTCTTCGCCGACTCTGTGTGGGCTCAATTTCAGGGACTACGAATGCTCTGGCACGATGGCGTGACTGAATGACATTAAAGGGAGAGAGAGGGTGGTGGCTTTACTGTCCCATGTCAGCGGAGGCCAGCTTCCCCACCATCCCCCAAACCAGTAATGAGTGAGCAGGAGTCAGGGGGTGTCGGAGGCAGGCACCCATTCCCTGGGGACAGGCTGGCTGTTAGGCCAGTGACAGGAGCACACGCAGACCCCACGGCCCTCATGCAGGGCCAGGGCTGGCTCTGTTCAGCCTAGATCCCTTTGTGGGGTGAGTATTCTCTGTGTGCACTGGCCCAGAAAAAACTTGACGTTCATTTTTAGCTGGATAATCTACCTGGTAGGGCAACCCCCTGGGCTGTTTCTTTTTTCTACACCCACCCAAATCCCCTCTCTGGCATCTGTGCTGTCCCGGCCACTCCATTCCACACTGCATGTTTTCATCCCAGCCATCCGGCTGCCCGATCCAGGAGGCGGCAGGTTGGCAGGTGGGCAAGCCGGATGACGGTGTCACAGGCCGAAAGGCCCCGGTACAGGAGCAGGCGAGCTGGTGGCTGCGGCCTTTGCCTTCCCCTAACAAAGCCCTGTCACCAGTCGTCACAATTATTATTTTTAGCCAACGCGAAATAAGGAAATGGCACATCCCCTTTCAGACTCAATCCTGTTTTCATTTTGCCAAGCCCCTCCCCCGACCACTGCAAACCTTTGTTGAGGAGAGGGGGTGAAACAGAGGAAACTGAGTGGCCCCCCATCCCGTCTCTCACATCAGCATTTGTGCCCCTCTATTAATATTCAGTAGGTTGAACTTAAATTAAACCACGCCTATTGTCTTTCACAAAAGCAATAAATATGAGCTGAAAATTCCAAATCGCTGCAGTCAATGAGGCTGGGGGACTGTGCCTGCAACCTCAGCTTGTCACCATCAGCTGACAGGAGCAATGTGTCACAGGACCGAGTCCACTGAGACCACTCAGCCATCGCGACGCAGCGCCGTTCTCACAGCTGAGAACCCCGCAGAAATCACACACAACGGGACCCCGCCATGCAGGGCTGCGCGAATTCAGGAGCCGTTCATCTCCGCTCCCATCAGCCAGGAAGGAAAGAAACGGCGTCTGAGGCCGCAGCAGCCAACGCCGTGGAGCTGCCTTCCTTCTGCAGGTGCCATGGCTGCAGAAAGGGGACAGACATCCCTGTTGTTCCTGGGATTAGAGACACGGTGTGTATGACCCTCTCCCTCTGGCCTTGATTAAGGTGCTTGGAAAAAAAAAAACTGAATGGCAAATTTGGCCAAAG